AAGATTAAACCTTAAGGAAGAACAAGAAAAAAAAACAAATATCAGGGAACAAAGTAAACCAAATATCATGCTAAATCACTTAGATTATAACATTCAAGCTTACAGATATAAGTTGTTTATATTTTAGTATGCATACTAACATTTTATACTTGTATAATCAGCGTTAAATGAAAGATGGAATTTTATTTACAAAAATCTCTCAACGAGGTCATTTAAACAAGCTAAGGTATTTATCCTTTGAAACTGCCTTCATATAGCGGCGATAAGGACATACATGTATTAACCTAACGAACTGACGATTTCAAGTTAACACTTAATGAAGGCGCGATTTTAACAGTGAAAATATTTTAATTATATGTTTAATGCTTGAATACATTTCAAATCTTCCTAAAGTAAATCATTATTAAAACATTGTTCCATTTGTGAAGTTATCTGGGTGAGCAAATGAAATATGTAAATGAAACACATCATAATTCAGTATGTTCCAAATCCATAATTCAAGAACGGCCCATCAATTTTAGTTCAACATCACAATCTTTTAAACTCTTGATGTAAACAGACCTTTTGGAGCGATACATGTGATTAACCTTGTCCTGGTGGATGTAAAGATCCTATATGTGATAGAAACAAAGGTACATGTACAGATGGATGTAAAGATGGACTGACTGGGGATAAATGTACTCAAATTATCACAATAGGTAAACAATGTGTATATGATTACTGCCATCATTCTGTTTCAAAATAATTAATTGATAGGTAACTCATATGGATTTAATCAAATTCATTTGATGTTGGTAATTATTATATGCGCACGTAGTAGTTTATAAGTTTGAACGTTTTTACTCGTGTAAAGTAACGATAAGATATAATGCGCACACCATACTAACTCATTAGCACTGAATGAAATCCAAAGTAATCACAGAATGATATGTATACATTTATTTCTAACATTTACTCTCGTATTATGATGGCATGTATGTGATATTGGAGATAATTTACAATGTATTTGTCATAATTGCACCTGCTAGTAATGTGATAATACAGGAATATGATTAGGGGATTGTAATGATAACTGGACTGGAACAAAATGTTCAATAAAATATTTAGACAATAATTATTGCGAGATAGTAAGTGGTAATAATTGTAAATAGTGTAATGACAACTTTTAGTTTAGCAAAGGTATGATATTGTACGACTGTGTGTGCAGATTTTGGCGAGAGAAAAAAATGTTACAGTAATCATTAGAGCGTAGTAAATGTTATGTGTATTACAAGTTAATGTTATATCTACAGAAACATCAGTGACGACAACAACGTCAGCCGAACCTGAAACGCAACAACAAACATGTGTGCGTTGTGACGATAAAGTTAATAATTTGGATTCGGATCTTGTGCTGCCATAGTAATATTTGCTGTTACAAATTTGGATATATTATTTCGATTCTAACACGACATAAACAAAAAAATGCTGCCGTACCTGCTATTAAGCAAAATTGCCCCTGATTTGTTTCCGTACTTATTGTCAGCGCGTCGGATTCTACAGTGGTTACGTCACATGTATAATGATTACTATGACAGCACAAGATCCGAATCCAAATTATTAACTTTATCGATATGATGTTGGACTTTTAGGGTTGATGAACTTTGCTCCGAGTAAATTTATTTCAAAAAGTGTTTAATAGTAAATTAAAGGATTTTATAGGGGAGTATCCTAAATGGATTAAATCCCGTTTATAAACAATGATTGATCAGTAAGTGAAAATGAACAATTCTGATTTTTGAATTTAACATGCGTTTAATTAATAATTAACTTCATTTTAGTCACAAAAGATTAGTGTAACTGGCAATTTAGATTACCCGTGTATACACATTTACAACATGCTTAAACTATACACGGATATATAAATGTATGAGGAAAATGTTTTTATTTTTGGTTAGAATAAGTGCTTAACATGTTTGAAATGTTTAACAATTCCTGCGCGCCAAGTGGCAGCGAGTCTGCCATTAATATAAAATATTTCTAAAAGTGTATTATCATCATTTGGAGTAAACACATTCGGTCCGGATAAACAACAAGCAGAAAGTAGTAAAAATTTACAGTGAGTTAAATGTTTTGCCACTGAATTATCAAACGAACTGATATTTAATGAAAGACAACCCTTTTAAATTGTGAACAATTTTGTGGATACGTACATGTGCCTGCATGAATTACGGTATTTTAAGTACTAATCAAGGGCGACCTGCAAAAATTACTTTCTTGTTACAAATGATTTCAAATATTCATGTTGTAAAATGGTGAAGAAGGAAAATATACCATAGTGTCTATTAAAAGATTTTAAATGTAAGCACTGACTAAAGTGTAATTGCGATTAAGATCCAATTTATAATCTTTATGGAAACCAGCCATCTTTATTAATTGCATCGCTATGTGAAATATGTTAATTATTACAATATGCAACAAAGTATATAAAGTTTCACCGAAATGAGAAGAGTTTTTTTGTTTCATTTAAATGCATGGACATTTACGGTATGACAAATTATAACATAATACATTTCTTGCATCGTGTTAATCTACTTTTACAACAGAAGATTAATTTCAAATAGGTACGGGTTATTATGCAAGAGGATTTGTCCTAAACATGCAAATACATCTTATTTATGGGGTTTTAAGTTACGCCGAAACCGTAAAGATAATATTTGCGACTGTCTAGGTTTACTGGTGCAGGAAGACATTACGAGCAGGAACACGAGTGCAACAAGCACGTATCTTCATGAAAAGTCCCTGGCGGTATTCGAACCCTTATCAGTTATGGACTCTATTATTGTGATATTTTATTGTGTAATTTGTGGATTTGAAAACGTTTCTTTTCATTAACCGCCTCCGTGGTCGAGGGGTTAGAATCGATGACATCTAATCCAGTTACCTCTCTGGTGTGGGTTCGATCCCCGGGAGATGCTTTGGCAGTTTAGCGCGGAGGAAGGTAGTCTAGTACTATATAACTGAAATACTGTTGGGAAAAGGCGTAAAATGAAACAAACAAACAAAAACAAAACTTAAATTTGTCAAGTTTTAATTGCTTAAATTGTGATGCATGGTGTCACATCAACAATGGCATATTTGACAATTATGATATCTCCCTTACTACATAACTTTTATAAATTTGAGAAAAGTTTCAATCTCGGAGCCTTAAAGTAAGAAAGTAAGTGATGCGTACTTCATATAAATTATCTAAATATTTATTTCTATAATATTACTTTTTTATGTAATTATCTTTTTTATTTTTATGTTTTGGAATCTAATTATTTTAATGTAATTACCATAATGTTAATACCACAGCTGTAGGAGGCTATATGTTTCTTGTACAAGTAGTTTGAAGATGTGTGTAGTTATGTTCACTTCATAGGCAGCTTTATTATTGTGAACACGGAATTTACATATACTTTCTGGATATAGTTGGTGAAGTACAAAATCATATTATTATAATATATTCATTCATTATAAACATATCATATTCATGATCTGTTCATCATAAGTATCGTCATCATCGTCGCTATCATCATCATCATCGTTAGTATCACATTCAAAATTATCATCATTATCATCATGTTCACCAACAACATCATCATCATTATTATCGTTAGCATTATTATGATAATCGTCATAATCATCGTTATCATCATCATTCTTATCATCATCATCGTTTTCATCATGTTAACAATTATCATCATCATTCTTATCATCATCGGCATCATTATCATCATTGTTATCATCATCATTATTATTATTATCATCGTCATAATCATCATCGTTATCGTCATCATCATAATCATCATTGTTATCATCATCATCGTTTTCATCATGTTAACAATTATCGTCATCATCATGTTCAGTTATCATCATTGTCATCATGTTCATCATCATTACCACCATCATTATCAGCAGCAGCAACAACAGCAGTGTTATCATTACCAATAGAAATAGAATATCTGAAATCAAAACCTTAAAATCATTTCTTCTTATGTCAACGCAAATAATCGCTGTTTCATTTACTCTGTTAAACATCATTTACCGCAAATAATCGCTGTTTCATTTACTGTACCAGTTTCAGTACACATTCTGATTGCAAACACTTCAATGCAACTCCGGTGATTCATTTATTTTGCTTGCTGGCACAGTTTAAGGACATAACGCTCTTTGGTAAATTGATTCACCTGACAAGTAGTGTAGGCGCAATTATACTCCGGTAAAAAAAATAATGGTGATATCAATGAGAAACTTTAACTTGATGAATTCATTTGAGCCTCGTCATGACAAAACCAACATAATGGGTTTGCGACCAGCATGGATCCAGACCAGCCTGCGCATCCGCGCAATCTGATCAGGATCCATACTGTCCGCTTAAAAACCGTATAACAAGTAGAGAAACTGATAGCGATCAGCATGGATCCTGATCATCTGCGCGGATGCGCAGGCTGGTCTGGATCCATGCTGGTCGCAAACGCATTATGTTGGTTTTGTCATGACGCGGCTCATTTAGAATAATGATATTTTATTGCTTTTTTCGCTACAAACATAAGAATAAATTTATAGTATGTACATAGATGCTGTAGTTGTTGGGTCGGACCACAAGTTTTAACAACAATAATGTTTATAATAGTAAATATACGTACATAAAAATTCTGTTGTGTTTGGAATACAATGAATTAGCAATCAATATGATAGAATTTGATTGTGAAAAAAAATTCTGACTAAACTTTAAGAAAAAGTAAGAATGAAAAAGAAAGAAAGAATGAATGAATGAATGAATGAATGAATGTGAATGAATGAATGAAAGTATGAATGAATGAACGAATGAAAGAAAGTATGAATGAATGAATTAGCACCATGTAGAAGTTTTCCGCACAGATCATGTCCTAAGATATTTAAGAACAAAAAAAAGAACGTTGATTGTAATTGTTAAATTCATTAAAATCTGCACGTTTGTAAATCAATACCCTGTGTTTAAAAAGAAGTCGTAAGGTGAATGTGTGTTTTGATAAAAAAAAAAAAAAAAAAAAAAAAAAAAAACGTTTGATATTTTTTATAATAATCGGATCAAACAATATTCGAGAATGGGAACTAATACGCTTGGGTTCATTTATAACATTTTTATGCTCCCCGAAGGGTGAGCATATAATCGCCGCTTTGCCCGTCTGTCCGTCCGCTATTCTTGTCCGGACATAACTTTGAAACAACAAGAGGTATCAACATGAAACTTTGTAGGTAGATAGATTTTATTGAGTAGAAGTGCAATGCAAAAGAACCATAACTCTGTCTTGGCTAATTTTGAAATTATTTCCTTTTGTTCATTTTTACACTTTGAACTTTGTCCGGGACATTTCTCTAAAACTATAAGATATATCAACGTAGATAGATCTCATTGAGTAGAAGTGCAGTGTAAAAGAACCATAACTTGTTCTTGCCTAAATTTGTAAATATTGCCCTTTGTTCATTTTTACACTTTGAACTTTGTCCAGGACATAACTCTAAAACTATAAGAGATATAAACATGAAACTTTGTAGGTAGATAGGTCTCATTTTGGTAGAAGTGCAGTGCTAAAGAACCATAACTCTGTCCTGCCTAGATTTGTAAATATTGCCCTTTGTTCATTTTTACACTTTGAACTTTGTCCAGGACATAACTCTAAAACTATAAGAGATATAAACATGAAACTTTGTAGGTAGATAGGTCTCATTTTGGTAGAAGTGCAGTGCAAAAGAACCATAACTCTGTCCTGCCTAATTTTGGAGTTATTGCTCTTTGTTCATTTTACACTTCTTCGAACTTTGTCCGGGACATAACTCTGAAACCATAAGATGTATCAACATGAAACTTTGTAGGAAGATAGGTCTCATTAAATAAAAATGCAGTGCAAAAGAACCATAACTCTGCCTTGCTTAATTTTGGTTACATTAATTGCCCTTTGTTCATTTTTACGCTTTGAACTTTGTCTGTGACATAACTCTGACACTACATGATTGAAGTATACTTACCTGTGTCCAAAACCTATTCTGGGAGCATCATCCGGTTTAACCGGTTCTTGTTTTTTTATTATCTAGCATTAATATATCTGGGAACTTGTGATTTTTCAAGTTAAGTTGATCCTCGTTTATATCTGCAAACAAAATAATCTAGAGCTATTTATGCATATATTAAGCCTTTCCCATAATTCTACCGGCGATTGTGGAGGACGATATCAATTGCAAGATAAAAAATCTTCTAATCAGATTTCAATTCCGCCCAAATAGATTCTGGTAAAATATTTTCCAAGGAAAATAATCTACGAAGTTGTTAGACACATAAACTAATAGTCCACCAGAATGCGAAGAATGATATTTTCTGTATTATGAACTACATCCATCTAATGTTATCATGTCGTCGGTAATTATTTTTAGTTTCAGAGAGACATAAAACGTCGAAGTCAAGAAAGTTTTTTTTTATATACTCAAATTTGTTTCTAATACTTCTGATGTTGTGTTGAAAAGTAGAAAATGACGCAGACTCAGGACTACTCTTATTGTTCGAAAGTTTATATATATAGATTGCCTCTCGTACAAAAATTGCCTGCTTTGCACATATTATTTTTTCAGATATTTAAAAATAGTTTGCACCAATCACTCAACGGTGCTTCTAAAACGAGTCATTTATCTTATTTTTTATTCAATTTTACCTATAGAAAATTGAGCTCTGTCAGTCAAATATACTTCATATTTGTTAGAAAAGAAAATGAAAATAAATTTGAAAGCGGGCGGAGTCAAAATTCCTAATTGTTTTAGGGTCTAATTTCGGATATTGTTTTTTCTCTGACAGTCAATTATGGTGGCTGATTTGGAACGCTGTTGTGCGTCGTGTTGGCGCTAGCGACAACAGGACAAAGCGCCAAAGGGCACGTTGTCGGACTTTCGTCTTGTCGCTAACGATGTACGCCAAACGGCGCGTTGTCGTGTGGCGTGTTGTCGCGATGTCACATTGTCGCTCGGTTCAAATCGGAGGATTGGCTTATAAGCTTAACGACATGGGGATAACGCGCCACACGACAACGCGCCATTTTGCGTGCGCTAGAGACAGGACAAGGCGACAACGCACCGTTTTGGCGCTTTGTCCTCTTGTCGCTAGCGACACGACGAAAAGGCGATAACGATATAGGTTGCGTTGTCTCTATCGACAACGCAATGCGCAATGTACCAAATCAGCCCCCATAGTCAATAGCCTCAGTTATTCATTTCATTAAATTGAAATAGTAATTATGTTATGTTTTATGAACAGCATTTAACTGGGTAGTAGTGGACTGCGTCCATGGCGTCACTCACTGATGAATAATCAAACTATTACTGCGGCTGTACAATAAGCGACGGTTTTCAATAACAACTTTTTTTCTCGGTGGTTACATTTTAAAAAAATATTTGTTTCGTTTTCGTGATAAATGGAATATATTTTCACTGAACATGATAAAATTTAAATTATTTACACTCGCCGTTCCTTTACACGTTTCTTGAAAATATATTCCATATTTCACTCTAACGAAAGAATATCTTCATATTATGGTTAAAATATATTTATTTAAGCTCAATTGCGAAACAAGTTCTTGCATCTTATATTAATCACTTTGGAGTTCGCTTCCTGGAATCAAACAGTACTGGTGTCATAAAATATAAAAAAAAAATGGTCGTGACCTGATTAGGGGTGGAACCCATGATTTCTAGGTTGCAAGGCAGACACCTTAACCACTAGGCCACTGCTCCTGATTACTGAATACAGTGAATCAAATGTATAAAATGACTTCTGTACTGGGAATATTCTATGAATTGCCCCTCGTACAAAACATTGTCTGCTTTGCACATATTATATTTCAGATATTTAAAAATAGTTTGCACCAATCACTCAACGGTGCTCTTTACCGAGTCATATATCTTATTTTTATTTAATTCTACCTATAGAATATGGTGCTATATCAGTTAAATATACTTCATGTTTTTTAAAAACGAATATGAAAATAAATATGAAAGTGGGCGGAGTCAATATCCATATTACTTTTAGGGACTACTTTCGGGTATTTTTTTTATCTCTCTCTGAAAGTCAATAGTTTGTTTTTTCTTTTTCGTGATAAATGGAACATATTTTCACTGAACATTATAAAATTGAAAGTATTTTCACTCACC